CTTACAAGGTCCATTCCAGCAAACAACATTGAGAAACTCACACATCACTCAATTTAGGTATATGACATGCATCACCGCAATGCTGGCTAAACTCCTGTAGAGTCCATCAAAGGACTGCGGGAGAAAAGGACAATACTCATCAGGAAGGGAGACTGCAGCAAAACAGAGGATGGTTAGGATCTCATTGTGGGAGGGAAGGGGCCAGTAGCAACCAAAATGGGATGCAGGAACCAATGATACGAGAAATGGAAAGGTAAAGGAATAAGGCAGGGGAGAGGGAGGATATTACCATGACCTCGGCACATGCACCCAATTCAGAAGTATAATCAGGAAATAAAGTTGAATCTACACTTTCAGCAGAATGGGAGGATTAAGCAGAGGAGGGATGAACCATGCAGCAGGTGAGCTGTAACTCACAAAAACCTCATACCGAAATAAATAGTGTTAGTCTTTAAGGTGGACAGTGGATTTTTCTTTCATTTTGCAAGAACCCTGCAAGCTACCAATTAAATAAATCAATAAATCCCAAGGTGGTATAATGATGGGTGGAACCTCTCTCCCTATTGGGCTAGCTCTTCGATTGCAGGAACGGCTGAGCTCTCTCTCTGTGTGTATTCTTGCTGCAAGTGCTGATTCAGCCTATGGGAATCAGTAGGCCTTGCTCCAATGCCAGTGTACATGGATTAAAGCAACTCAGTCTTTTCAAGCAAAGAACTGGGGGAATAAGGAGAGACACTCTCAAGAGACAAGTTAGTTTTTAACAGTTACCTGTGCAGCATCACTAATGTTGCCAGGCAGGCATCCCAATTAATTAATGCTTTCATGGACTGTCAAGCGAGGTAGACCCATGTGGTTTCCAGGAGTCAAAGAGGGAAGAAATAATAACAATGCTGTGTGTGCTGTTGCTTTAAACTTTAATCAATGGATCCTTTGCACAAGACAGGTACCTGTCTTTGGCTCGGTGAGCTTCCTTGCTCCCTGGAAGCAACTGTTTTCCTGGAGTGGCCCATAAGAGAATATAAGAGGAGCCGTGTTGGATTGGGCCAATGGCCCATCTAGTCCAACGCTCTGTCCAGAACAGATGCCTGGTTCCAGAAGGAAGTATAAGGGTTACCCCCTGGCCCATAGCTAACATGGGGCCCACGGGGCCTGGTCCCCTAGTGTGCTCTGTCCAGAACAGATGCCTGGTTCCAGAAGGAAGTATAAGGGTTACCCCTTCCCCCTGGCACTGAGATCAAGACCCGGCTTTCAGTTCGCCAGTGGAAAAGCAGCAGAGAGGTTGTGTCACAATGTCATTCAGCAAAGTCTCAGCTCAGGGCTGAAACAGCCTAAAGAGGAGGACAATCTACCCCGATGCCCCATGACTCCCCTTCATGTCATGCTTGGGGCTCCTGGAGAGTCAGCTTGGGAAAGCAGGCACTGAAACTGGCCCGTAAGTAAAGCAACAGGGTGACTTCACACAGTGGTCAAGGCCGGTGCTCTTTACAGCATCCTCACAAGCAAGCAACAGTAACAACAAAAAGCACCGGGTCACTTCGGTTTGGGGTCCTGGCAGCAAGGGTGATCTACGCAGAGTAAGGGAGGGGAAAGGAAAAGGACAAAAGGGGGGAAGAGATGGGACTCGGGCCTGCTAGAGCCCTGGGCCACTTTTGCCAAGAGAAATTAGCCTGGAACTGCAAGCAAAAATAAACAGACAAGGAGTAAGGAAGTGAGAGACCATCAATCCGCATAGCGGTTAAGGTCTGAATGGCAGATTCTCTCTGCAAAACGGTGTTCACAAGCATGTGTCCAGTGTGGTCGTGTGAGGCCAGAGAGAAGCAGCAAGACTTTCCCCCAACACCATCTTCCTTGCAAATGCCCCCCACCATTTTTATCCCCCCCCCCCCCCCAAAAAAAAAGGTTCTGGGATGAGAACTAGCAAGCCTGCCTGGGGAGGGGGGGGAGCAGCCTTGGGAAGGCATTTGCAGGTGGGAGGAGGGGGAGTTTTAGCCTTCTGGTGCCTCCAGCTCTTCCCTGCAAATGCCTCTCTGCTTCAGCAAGGCTTACTTCTAATTTGCAAGCTCAGTAGGAGAAAAAATGGGCCTAAAATGACAGCCCGTTCTCCCCTGCAAACACCTTTCTCCCCAGTTCTTGCATTTCCGTTCTGGGATATTTACCTTGTGCCACTGGGACAGAGATGGAGGCAGAGGACAGAGCTCCTTCTCAGAAGAAGGAGTTTCAGCAGCCCCACCTTTTCTTGCCTTTGTACACCAAGTTGTGTCTGTCTGCTCCCTCCCTACCAAAGGAACTTTTTCTCCTTTGTATTCACACTCAGCGAAAGGGGGTCATGCATGAAAGCCAGGGTGGTGATGTGGTTGGACTATCAGACAAAGATCCGGGAGACTGGAGACCCCAATTTGAATCTGCTCTGCCATGCAGCTTGTTGGGTGACCTCGGGCCAGTCACACATTCTCAGCCTATCCTACCTCACAGGGTTAGTGTGAGGATAAAAGGGAGCAACATGGGACAATGTATGCTGGCCTGAACCCCTTGGAGGAAGGGTAGAATAAAAAAGGTACTGAATAAAATAAATTAAAAGCAGATCTAGGGTTTCCTGGTCCCCCAGGTCACCGGTAGGGGATGGGGGGGTATGGTTACCATCTCCAGGTTGGGAAACTCCTGGAGATTTGGGGATGGAGTCTGGGGAGGACAGAGACCTCAGTGGAGTACAGTGCCGTAGAGTCAGCCCTCCAAACTCCAAAGCATCCATTTTCTCCAGAGGAACTGATCTCTGTAGTCTGGAGATGAGCTGTAATTCCAGGGGATCCCCAGGTCCCACCTGGAGGCTGGCATCCCTAAGCCGATCCCATAGGGCGAGCTGCAGTGGAAGATGGAACCTTGGCCTAAAACTGACTGCATTCGTGTTCTGATTATCCAGCTGGATGCGAATGGGCATCCAAGGTGTAAAGCAAGGGTGTGCTCCTAATTTTTATTATAAACTGGGGCACAAGGGTGAGGAAGCACTAAACCCTGTCCCCTTATCTTGCATCAGTTCTCTAATAAAATCACCATTTTTTGGCCCAGCCCAGCACAGAAACCAGATACAAGCTGGGGAAGAAAAACACTTAAAGCTATGCAGTGCAGGAAGGTCAGGGGGGGGAAAGGACTTTGCTCCCCTCATCAAGGCGCTCCTTTTTTGTGTGAAAAAAATAATCTGCTTTCCTTGTGAACAAGGAACGCATGAATCAAATGCACATGGGTCTCACCCCCCCATCAAATTTAATTTGGCCTTTAGGTAAACCACATCAACCCTCCTCCTGTAGCACAGGAACCAGTAAAAATGTGAGCTGGAAAGCCTCCAGTTCCGATCTCACCTCTGCCACAAATTAGTCAATCGATAGGTACCAATATGCTTATAGCCCCAACTGTAGTTATGTATGCACCCTACAGAAGCGTTGCACAAGTGGAACTGTCTGCAAGCCTTCGCTCCTCCACCCCAGGGGTGATTACTTCTATGGAAAGACAAAAGACGAAAGGAGACCAAAAAGACTGGCAGCGCAGGGGCAGGGAGATGGCTCTGAAGGCCTTCGGAACTCAGGACCAGTGGCCGATCTTGGCATCCATTAAAAAAAAATCTGATTACATTAAAACACAGATGCACAAGCGCAGGCAGAGAGAGAGAGAGAGAGAGAGAGAGAGAGAGAGAGAGAGAGAGAGAGAGAGAGAGAGAGAGAGCGGGCAGGCTGTCTTTTGACAAAAGAAAGAGAGAGACAGAAACACAGAAAGAGAGAGAGAGAGAGAGAGAGAGAGAGAGAGAGAGAGAGAGAGAGACCGTTTCTCTTTTCACTAATGGACCAGGGATTGCATTACATGCCAGCGAGTGCATTTCTCTTAATCCCTACCCCAACTGTCCGCCTTGTGCTGTATTTAGCTGAAATCAATCCCTGCCGTTCTCTAAGTTCCTTTGAATTTCCTCGTTGACACGGGTGCAGCCCCCATCCCCACCCTCATGCGGGGTTGCAAGACAGGATGCTGCTTCCCTGGATTCCACGGGTCAGAATTTTCTGAACAACAGGTTCACCTGGGCTCTCCCCTCCTGCCTATGCACACAGTCGTTTCTGTGGCTGACCAAGAATCTGTTCTTCCCTGTGGTGCCAGTTGAAGGGGAAGGGTGCAAGATGAATGCAAAGCAGGCCTGCTTTCCCCCGCCCCCATACCTGCAGACACTTCAAAGTTTTCCCCTGATGCCCTTTTTTGCCTCATTCCTGGATTTCCGACCTACCACTATTCTCTCCTGTTCTGCAGTCTATTTCCACCCTGCTCTTTCCCATACCTGCAGACACTTCAAAGTTTTCCCCGATGCCCTTTTTTGCCTCATTCTTGGATTTCCAACCTACCACTATTCTCTCCTGTTCCGCAGTCTATCTCCACCCTGCTCTTTCTTCCTGTCTCCAGCCACAGCAGTTCCTGTTCATCAAGGCAGAGGTGAACCATTTCTAATCCTGCATTCCAGAAGGTTGCCTGCAGTCATGGTTCCATAAACTGCCGCGAGAATTCACCAAAGCACTGGTGAGTTCCCACGGCAGGCACAGCCGAAAGGGAAACAGAGGCACCTGACTTTGTACAGCCCAATCTCACCTCCCTGACACTTTTCCCCATGCATGGAAAGTCTCCCCCCCCCTTTTGCAATATACAAAAGAGGAGCGAGGGAGACTTTATCAGCACGTTCAGGTATAGCCTTTGAAGCCCAGAGTTTGCGTGCATATTGAAGCATCGAACTCGGATAAGATGTTGCTGCACATCTGGTATCACATCATCATCCAGTACAGTTGGAGGGTGCTATTCCCGTTGTGAGGGGTGGGGGCAGGCAGGAATCAAGGGATAAACTGGATGAACAGAAACAACCTTTTTTTTTTTTAAGGGCAAAGCCATCACAGAGACAGAGAGAGCAGACAAATTAAATACCGATCGTGCATTTCCAACAGACAGACACATACAGAGACTAAAGAAAAGATACTCACTGCCTTTGACCTGTCCTCGCGTTCTGGAGGTCTTTGCCAATTGTGTGGTCAGAGACGCTCTATGGAGAGAAGAGAGTGATCTCTTAAGAGGGGGCAGAAGCCGCGCACACACAGACACACCTCCCTGTCTCTCTTCCCCCCTTCTCAATTCCCCCTCAAGCAACAGCTCAGCTGAAAGCTCTCATCCCCTCTGCTGCATATCACATCCAGTAAACACGAAAGCACTCTAGCTGAGCAGGCTCAAGGCTCGGCTAGCACCGCAGAGCCGGCTCATTGGTAGGATTTGCGAAGTGCCCACCTGATCGGAGCATTTGGGAGTATCCTCCTTCATCCTGTCCCTCCTGGTTCACCCGATGGCAAAATCTCCTCCTCTTCTACTAAATTACAGTAATAATCCACCGCCTCGGGGAATGCAGAAAACACATGTGGCAAATGTTTGCAAGGAGAATCTCAGACAGGATTCCCTCGCCCCGGGTAAATATTCCTTCTGGGTTTTCGCCCCGGGATTGTTAGAATGAAACGCGAGTCCACATTGTTTCAAAATACAGCCTGGCCGGGTTCGTACATCCCCAGGGGTATCTAGGCTAGGCCGGCAACCGGTGGAGTGAGGTGGGACACAATAAGATCAGGGAGCTTAATTAAAGAGCACCGGTGCCAGCGAAGTCAAACTGCCTCGATTAAATGGCAAGGCAAGTTTCTTATTGGGTGCAACTGTGTGATAAATGCACGGCCAAAAAAAGCGACAAGAGTTAAAACTAAAATAGAGAGGTGCGAATTCCTCTTCCACCTCGACTCATCTGGTCTGGGTGTTACCTCACCTCTCCTGATCATATCCTGATCCTGTCCTCTCACCTGGTTATCATCATCCATCCGGATCTCCTGCCATCCCAAGCACGCTTCCTTCTCACTTTCTCGTCTCCCTCCCCCTCATCCTTGCCCAGGATTCAGGTAAATTCTACAGCGAGAACAAACTCCGAAGGCCACCCTTAAAATAACCACCCACTCCTGTTCCTTAAAATAGCCACCCAATCCCATTCCGTGTGGCAGTTTCGCTCTTCCCAGCAGGGACTGTGGCTATGCCCTTTCCATCTAGGGCCCGTTTCGCTATGCTCCAGACTTGGACTTTTGCCAGTGGGTGGGTGCCCAGTAGAAACAGTCAGGGCCGCAATGTTCCCTCTAAGCTGAGTTAGTGTGAGCTAGCTCACACTAACTCAGCTTAGAGGGAACACTCAGGGGTCTTGTGAGGATGTTTTATTTCCAAGAAGTGTTCCCTTAATGTGACACCGAAGAGTCATTTGGCTACTTTGTTCTACTGATTTTATGTTATCCAGGATGGACAAAAGGAAATGAGTGATTAAAATGTGGAATTCACTGCCAGAGGATGTAGTGATGGCCACAGGAATAGACAGCTTTAAAAGGGGATTAGATAGATTAATGGAGAACAGGTCTATCAATAGCTACTAGGCATGGTGATTTAGGGGAACCTCCACATTCAGAGGCACTAAACCTTTGAGTCCCAGTGCCAGGATGCAACATCAGGGGAAGGCCTCAACCTCTATGACCTGTTGTTGGCCATCCAGAGGAACTGGTTGGCCACAGTGTGAGACAGGATGCTGGACTAGATGGACCACTGGTCTGATCCAGCAGGGCTCTTCTTATGTTGTTATGTTAGATTCAAGTCCAGTAGCCCCTTAGAAACCAACAAGAGTTTCAGGGTATAAGTTTTCAAGAGTCAGAGCTCCCTTCTTCAGACACAAGTAGGAATGGAGATTTTGCATCATAGCTTAAATAGCATATTTGTGGGGTTTTTTAAGTATGTTGATCATTATTGGGCTCTTTTAAAAATTATTTGTGTCTTCTACGGAACATAAACCACCTTGAGCGCCCATTTGTGTGGAAAAGTAGTCTAGAAGGAGAGTTGTAGCAGCTGATGTCAAGCTAGGATCTGGGAGACCCTTTCCAATTCCCTACTCGGCTCTGAAGATGGCTTGGTGACTTTGGCCCGGCAAGTGTCATTGTAACCTACTTCACAAGGTTGTTGTGAAGAGAAAATGGGGGAAAGGAGAATGATGGTATTACCCTGAGTTCTTGCAGGGAAGGACAAGATAAAAAAAATATGATACATAAAATGACCATCTTTGTATCTGCTATCATCTTGCTTTTGTTTATTTCCCTTCCAGGCCTCTGCTTTGGGTCCCAGTTGGCTGGAAGATACATGAGACAGCTTTCTAGGCCCGCGTTTGTTCAGTGCTTTTCTGGGAGACTTTCTGGGAACCCTTTCATATGCCCTCCTCAGGCTCCCTGCCAAAAATCTCCCAAGTATTTCCCAAACCAGAGCTGGCAACCGCACTCCTGAGCCTACAGGAGAGGTAATCAACTTGACTTCTGCCTACAGCCCAACCCAGAAGCCCCATACTACCCGCTAATCACAGGGGTCAAAGTCACCTACTGCTATTCCCTCCTGATTCAGAAGAGAGCTCTGAGGCCTGAACACCCACATCCAGGACCCAAGATTAATTCCTCTGGGTGATGCAAAATTGTAACATGGGTCATGATGGGAGAAAGGGGAGCAAGCGAGGGAATGATGTCCAAACCTGACAGTGACACTGATACTGTAGGAATCCCCTGAATCTCTGTCAGAAAGGCCATAGCAGTTTGGAGGGGGTTCCTTGACATCAACCATCTTTGTCACTTCCAGATTTGAATGCAATCCCCACCCCCCACCCCCACTGGTTTCCCTGCAGCTACCTCCTCAGTGGTTGTCTCTCCGGTGTATGGAAGAACAACGCGAGGGACTGTCCTCACCGACATGTGATCGGGAGGGGGGACTTCTGTAGAAGGGGGGGGCTCTTTCACCGGGAGAAAACAATAGGAGCGTGCAGCGCCCTAAAGGAAAATTGGGGGATTTATACGTGGGATCCTTGCGGCTACCGTCTGCTTTAGCCTAAGGACAGGCTTATCGGACTGCCTTTATGCGCCCATGTTTAGTCCTGTTTTCCTTCCCTCGTAGAACGGCCCGCCTGGGGAAGTCAGAATGGTTCCAGGACCAGGTAGAAGCCGGAACAGCCTGAAACGGGGGGCGTTAAACCAACAGCAGTGCCGCAAAAAATAATAATAAAAAATGAATTTCCATCACACGCAATTACATCTGCAACCGTGCATTCCTCCACCGCTGCCCTAGGGACGCCCACCCCACCCCATGCACTTTCAGCTCACCCGATCCTGCGCAGGAGCAGCAGATCTACAGGGCGTGGGGGGGGATCGGTGGGCTTCCCGCCCTCAAGTCAGACCCGCAGTGCAGCTCACCCACCCTCCCCCTCCCCCCTGGCGCTGCTTGGGAAGACCACCTATCTCCCCCGCGCTGCACGCGGGAGAAGGATTGATGGGGAAGGCAAGGCCGGGGAAGGCAAGGCCAGGGGCGGCGTAAAGAAGGGGGCGGGGCTTCACCATGTGACCGCCCCGCCCCCCGGAGGGTCTCTTCCGGAGCGTCGTACCTGAGCGCTCCCCCTCGATGAGACCCCTGCTCCTCCCCCAGGCCATTGGACTTTTTCATTTGGGGGGGAAAAAACCCAGCAACTGAATATCATTATATTAATATACTGTTACAAAACTATTGTAAAGGGTCTCTGAATCCCCAGCTTTCAAGAAAAACTAAACTAAAAATAACTCTTTAGCCTCCAATGGTAGAGGTATGTCTTTCCCCTTATATCTCTGCAAGACTGAAACGTACTGTTGTTTTTTTAATTAAAACTGGGAATTCTGAAGAAGGGGAGTAGGTTTTTATACCCTACTTTTTCTACTTTAAGGAGTCTCAAAGTGGCTTACAATAACATTCCCCTCCACTTCCCACAACAGGCACCTAGTGAGGTAGGTGGGGCTGATAGAGCTCTGGGAGAAAAGCAGGGGAACCCTTGCTGGGACCTGGGGTCTGGCAACCCTGTTTGGTGTAGTGGTTAAGAGACAC